GGGCCCCCTCCTGCAGCTCCTTTAAACTGGGCTCCATCAGGAAGCCTGCAGCTGGGACAATGGGGACAGCTCTCCCAGCTGCAGGCTCCCTCATGCAACCCGGTTTAAAGAGGCTATCCCAAGGAGCCAGAGGCAGCTGAGCCAGTGCAGAGAAGGCCCAGCTGTCTCAGGCTCACTCGTGCAGCCTGTTTAAAGAGGCTATGCCAGGGAGCCGGCACAGCCAGGAGAAAGGGAGATGGGAAGCCTCTTTCCTGGTGAACCTCCCCTTTTCTTCTGGTTGTGTGGGGAGGTGGGATACCTCTTCCCTGGTGATCCCGTCTCCCTTTCTCCTGGCTGTGCAGCCAGGATAAAGGGAGGTGGGACACCTCTCCCCCGGCAATCCTGTCTCCACAAGACAATCCAAAACAGCTGAGCAGACTTCTGAGCTGTTTTTCAGGCTTTCTGCAAACCCTGTTGAAAGGGACTGCAGTCCTTTTCAATGGGGTTTGCAGGGCCCCCAATCCTGCATGAACTGGTTTGGTTCATAAGCTGGCCTCCCAGCCTGGTTTGGGGTTTGGTCCATGCTGAGCCACAAACCGAACACCAAGCTGCACAGCATTTTTCTGGTTAATGCCCATCCCTAGTAATTTTTATGTCCACAGATTAAAGAATAAAATTACGTTAATAATTCAGTGACACCACAGAAATTTAAAAAAAATTGCCCAACTACATGTGAAGTGACAGTTCTGTGACAGGTCTTATACCTATTTGTTCCTAACTGCAGCTTTAGAGGGGTCATTTAAGCTGCAGGAGAAACATGGGAGGAAAAGGTTAAGCCTTTGATCTTCAAAGCAATTGTGTAAGACCTCCTATTAGTTCTTAAAAATCCATAAGATAATCACAGAATTCTCTTGCCACATGTAATTTGGCCCTGAAGCAGTGTATACAAAAAGCAGCAACTATCAAACAACTTTATGGTAATAACCCACTCTCCCAGTAGATAAAACATTTGCACACCTTGCTGTCATAATCAGACGTGTTCACACATGTGTGGATCACATATAACAAAGAATCAACCAGGCCTTCACAAGTTCTCATCTGTTTCCGTGCCTCCTCACCTGCGGAGCTTAGATTCCTAAAGGCATAAAAAAAAGAATAGAAATACGGATGCATATCACTAAATATGGGCTTGGATTCAACAATCTGCAAAAGCCACCTCTCCATTTCCTCTACAGTCCTGAGCTCCATCTCCCCCCCCCCCCCAAGTCGCTCTTCAGGGAGAGATAACCTTTCAGAACAGTACTTTATACAATGCCAGGGGTTGCAGCTGATGGGGGAACTAGTGGAAACTGCTCCTGTCCTTTGGCAAACATCTGCTCAAGCATGAATTCATGGAAGAGTGAAAGGATGATTTCTGCTGATCCCCCCCTTCTTGCTGCAACCCCTGCACTGCACTGCAATGCATCCCACTGCCAAAAAGCCCCTGACCTTAGAAGATGATTTCTTGGTGTGTGTGTGTGTGTGTTTGTGTGTGTGTGTGTGTGTCAAAGAGTACTGCAGTGGGAAAGTTGAAGCAGCAAAGATCCCTCTGATGAACTCATTGATCATTTCTTATGGCCTAGGCTATAGTGTAGATTAGTACTCTTATTATCATGGAATGCATATCTGGTTATCTATAGAATAATTTTTTAAAAGATCAAATAGGATGATATTCTGGGAAAGTAGAGCTCGATTTGGTACAATTTTGAAGATTACTAAAATGCCCCCATAAAGGCCATTCTCATCAAACAGAGCAGGCATCAAACCAACTTTCCAACAAAATGTTCCTCATTGTGGCATATCATTCTGTTTAAAGAATAAATTGTTGGATGGGCAGATAAAGATCTCAAGAAGATTATTAAGAGAAATCTATTCTTCCTACTCCATCAGCCTCTACCAACATACTATTTTTAAAAGATATGATCAATTTTTATTCCAGAGTAGGTACATCCTTCGATGAACATGTTATGGCCAAACAATAACTTACTCCTCCTGAACCATTCCAAAATAAATCTAAAAAAATCAACAACAGTTCTTTTTCAATTCCCAGCCAATTCTTGTTGATCAGCAAATTTTCACTCAGACATGGGCTTGGCAATAATAAATGGTACACAAGCTGTGTAGCCTACATAACTACACATTCCACCACTGCCTACCGTAATTCTATTTGGCACTGTCTGGACACTGTGGTCTAGTCTGGGCAAGGGTCCAGACCACATTGAATGGATGTTGTCAGAGAGACTCTTGGATCTTTACAACCTCCGGGCTGGGGAAGCTCAATACTAAGTGAGCACATCCCCTGCCACTTCCCATAAGTGTTAAAAAAAAATTCCACGCAGTCTCCATGAAGTCTGTGTACAATGTATAGATGCAATGTGCACTATCAGACACAATACTTCTGGTGATGTCTACCTATGTTGATATTACGATCTATTTCAGGGCTGGCCAACCACTAGACAATCCAGTTGAACTGAATACACCGAACAATGTCCCTACGCAATAATCATCTATTTGTGAAAACAAATAAAAGAATGGGAACATTTGCGACACCTGTTGTCTTACACTTTGGAAAGTGCCGTTGGTAGTGATGTCACAACATCAGTAACAAATAACAAAGTAATAGAGACTACAGTGGTGGAAGGTGATGGTATCGAAGAACAGGGAAATGAGGTGGAGGAAAAGGCAGGGAACTAACTGATGGATAGGTGGGTGAAGAAATAAGGCAAAAGGCTTAGACGGTAGCTGATAACAAAGAACAGACTAAAACAGAGGGTGGAAATCTCAAAAACATAAGAAACTTGGAGGGAGGCTATCTGGACAGAGAGATTAGATCACACCTGCTTTTCCATTCAAACTCTTCTGATTTCCCTACTCACCATAGCTACTGCCCCATGTGGCTTTTGTCCACTATCCCTGGCACAGCCTTTTCATTGGGACACAACCTCCCACTTTCACCAGTGGAAAAGCTGACAAGATACTGCCCAGGATTAGTACAACACCGGTACTACTAAAACCCAAAAGTAAGATTGCAGCGAGGCTGCAATATATGTCAGCTCAGAGCCTCCCATTCAGCTACTTCCCGCAGTTATTATCTAGCTTTCTAGATTACAGACATATACAGCTTGCTTTCAAGTTTAAAATAATGCAATGAGATAATTTTGATCTCAAATGCTAAATTTTAACTGCTTGAAATTTGTCCACGTGCTAGCATTTAGACTGCACCACAAATTAGAGCTTGATGAAACCTGGAAGCTCCATGCATGCAAGAGGAAGAGGAGGAAGATGGGAGCAGTGAGGGGAATGCACAAGCATAGCAAACATATTGTTCTAGGCACAAAGCCTGTTTTTAAATCTCAGTTTGTTGTTACATCTGAATGCATCTACTGTGTTGTCAACAGAGACATTATGCCTAAACTTAGTTATTGTAAACAGCAGTTTGCAAAACTATTCCAAATACTGATTTCTGGTTTACCAGCCAATTGTAAGTCACGGTTTCTCAACTCAGGTAACTCACCGTCAAACTTCACCACCATGTGCCATGATATGTGAAGTTTAAACAGCTGTGAGGGGTTAGAGTCTGCTATAGTGTTTTGAGTGTTAGATGACGAGTAGGAAGACCAGGTGACTCTGGGCCAGTCATTCTCTCAATGCCTAACCTTCCACATGGAGTTGTTGGCAATAAAATGGGAGGAGTATGTATGCCTTGGAGTATGGGTGGGGTCAATCTACGCCAATTCCCCTCCTTATTACAGCCCCCTCTTTCACAAGGCTTTTGTCCTTGGTCCCAATACACTCTCTGCCTCCCCTTTTCACCAGCAGAAATCTACCCCTTTAAAAAGTAGCATATGTGACAGCATTGTGCACATCTATCGTTCACTGCAAAAACAATTAATACTTCTTTCAAGCTTCACTAAAAAAATGGATTAGACCACAGAGTACTGGCTAGTTAACACACTGAAGTTTAAATCACTAGATGTGACTTGAGACCAAAGCCAGCTGAAAAGCAACTCATTACAGAATGAGCATTTAATATAAACACAAGACATGCAACACAAAGCCAATCATAAAGCAATATGCCCTCAGAGCTACATTTACATGTTTGCTTTTTCATTATATAAGAGCAAAGCGTATTAGCTTAAGTGATAGGACTGAATAGTTTTCAAAGGATACATACGAAATTGCCATTTAAGATTCATTCTATATACGCTGTGATTTACCTCAGGCATCCTGTTGTGTTGCGCAGAACTAGAGAAGTCTGGAATTTAATTTTATGATCATCATCAAAGGAAGAATTATTCCACCCAGAATGAGGAACTATCACAGTGTTTGTTAATGTTGACAGAGCATCTCGAATGATTGTCATTTTTACTGCATCGCATGAAGACAGGTTCCAGAGAACACCTATGAAAAAGATGTATTGTATCATTTAATAGCAATGGTCATTAGATCATTACCTCTTTATTCCAACTTGCATACCCTATGCGGTAAGAGTACACGACTAGTAATAGTAATTTAAAGCAGAGAACAATTAAAAGAAAACTTAGTGACATAAAACTATGAAGTACAAAAAAGATTAGGTTACATAAAAACTGATTAACAGCTGTAAAACGCCAGCTCAAACAACAAATTTCTACAGAGCTTTAAAAATATATATATACTTGAGCTTGCATACTGATAAGGCTCTAGGAAAAGGAATTTCAATATCTGAGGTGGTACATAGAAGGTACAATAGCTGAGGAGGTACATAGAAGGTACAGTGTTTTGAAAGATTTGAAGATTGTGAGATGAGGTTTAGAAACGAAAACCAGGATTTTAAGTGGTAATGGAAAACCAGTGTAGATGCTGCACAAGTGGTATGAGGGAGCTCAAGAAGATTTTTCAACAATGAACAAATATAATACAAAATGGATTCCAGAGCATTTGTCATCTTCAAGAAAGAAAAGAAAAAGAAATGGACATTCTCCATAACCAAAAGAACTAGAACTGCTTATTCTCTAATGCTGTGTTTATATTTTCAAGTATGTGACATCACATTTTTGCAGTTCATTTCTTGGCTGAAGCACAAACCAAACCATGAACTGATACAAATCAGGAGGCTGGTTCACGAACCAAACTGGTTCAGGCAGTTCATGAGCCATTTAAAGTTTAAATCCGCTCTTTCTGCTCCCTGGGGCTTTTCATGGAGAGCAGAAAGCAGGGCTTTAAATGGCTCCCCCATCTCACCCCCTGTTTTCTGCCCGCTGTGGCGGTGAGCAGAAAGCAGGGGGTGAAATGTCTGGGAGCCATATAAACTCCAGATTTCTGTTCCCCATGAAAAGCCCTGGGGAGCAGAAAGCGGTGGTTTAAATGGATGGGAGCCACTTAACCCAAACAGCTTTTTTTGGTGAAGAGCAGAGCTTTCTGCTCTTCAAGAATCACCACAAACTGCATCAAATTTGTGAAAGTCTGTGGCAATTCTTCAGTTTGCAAACATTGCTTCGCAAACTATGAACCGCCCAAAATTCGTGAAGAACTTTAGTTCGTCAGCCAGTTCGTTCCCATCCTTACTCATCAGGAACCTGCCATCAAAGCCAAAACATAAGAGATGGAATGAATTCCAGACTATAAGGCTTTGCTGATTCAGAAATATTTAATAACAAAATCAGCACTGTATTGATCTGGTTACTTTCCAAATAACTGGAATAGAAAAAGATTCCTTCCAAGAAGAATCTTTTGAATAAAAGCCTGCAACTTTAGAATGTGAAGAAATGGGGTATCAATAGAGTTATTGCAAGCCACAGAAATGGAGTCCATCAAAATCTTAACAAGACTATGCCAACTGCTTTTAACCTAAGGAACATTTGGAACAGACCAGAGAGAAGTACCACTGGACATGTGTTTTCACTGGAGGCTTCATTTGTATTTCTGTATTTCTTTTCCTTGCCCAGTGGTTAAACTTTGGAACAATTGATTTCTGGTCTTTATTCCATATTTTGTATATGTAGAATTGTATGTATTTTTGCACATCAGCCAATATGTTCTGTATGTATTAGACCTCTGAGGAAGGCCTGTAAAGGCCGAAACGCGTAAGGTCTATCTTATTAGGTCTATCTCATTAGCCCTTGTATGTTTTTATAGTTTTATATGAGGTTTGTTATTTTAATTTATGTTGAATAAACACACACATATTTTTGTATATTTTATGATTAGATTTTTAGAGTTGGCCCTTTTCTATTCCTGACTAACCTTTTTAGGTTTTGACCTCTTCACTTTCTGCCATTAGAGTGGTATCGTCTGCATATCTGAGGAAAAAAGTAACCTTTCCCCCCACCATAGATAACAATGGAGGGGATGGGGGCAACCTGTTTGGGGGCCCGTAGAATTGGACCCCCTGGTCCAATGTTCTTGAAACTTGGTGGGTATCTTGGGGAGAGGCTCCAGCAGCTTGGAGCCTCTCCCTCAAACCCCCTCCCATCCAGCCCCCAGAATATACCCTATAATTTCGCCATTTGCTTCAATGGCCCATAGGATATAATGGGGCCGAAATTGACATTTGGCTGGCGGAAAGACTCCCCAATGGCTCATACTGACGAAATTGATATGCGGGAGTCTTTCTGCCGGCCGAAATTGATTCTGTCCAATTTGGCAGAATCCAAATCGGGCCGACTTTTTTTTTTGCACACCCCTAGTACAGAAACGTACAAACAATCATATGCTCCGTGTCACAGAGAGACAATTCCGACTTCATTACACTATAGCATAAGCTCCTAGCTCAGTCAGAGTAAAAAGGTAAAGGTAAAGGTTCCCTTGCTCGAAAAGAAAAGAAGCACACAAACTCACATTTGTTTCCAGTACTACAAACATGGCCTGAATCAAACCTATGTATAGAACTTGTTGTGTTCTAAACATACTGTCAATCATGTTCTCCAAATGCACATTTATTCACCAAAACATTGGTGTCATACAGTTTCCTACTATATATGAAAGAATGAAACGTTATTATACATAAATACACACACATATTGTGCCAGTAGTAACAAGATGTAACTACGTACTCTGAATGCTGTGGAAAAATGTGAGATTTTAATTGAATATTTGAGAAGACACTTCATTGTGGACAGATAGACTATTTTACACTTTAATTGCTCGCTGTCACAATATTGAGCTGATAGTTTGCGTAACTGAAATAAACTTGTGCCCAGTAATCTGCCAAATCTTAGCTACTTTGAAAAAAACAAGCATCCTTAATTTACTTATAGAAAAGGACCTTCTCTGATAGCTGCTACAGAAAGAAAAGCCCCTTAAGTTCCTGGAATTTCTTAGCTGGCAACTGTACCCATTTCTTAAAAGATGGTAATCCAGGTAACCCCAACTGTAACTTCGTATGTTCTGGCAGTTTGGTGTAGTGGTTAAGTGTGCGGACTCTAATCTGGGAGACCCGGGTTTGATTCCCCACTCCTCCACTTGCACCTGCTGATGTGACCTTGGGTCAGTCACAAGCTCTGGCACAGTTGTCCTTGAAAAAGAGCAGTTTGTGTCAGAGTTCTCTCAGCCCCACCCACCTCACAGGGTGTCTGTTGTGGGGAGGGGAAGGGAAAGGAGTTTGTAAGCCGCTCTGAGACTCCAAGTGAAGGGCGGGGTATAAATCCAATCTCTTCTTCTTCTTCTTCCCACCAGGAAAGGATGTTAAGCTGTATACCTATACGTCACCTGCAAGTTCTTGCTGAATTGTTTGTGCTTTAATTGGTTTAACTAGATTTCATATTTAAATTTGTATATGGCAAATGTTGTACCCCGCCCTGAGCCTTGTTGCATGGGGGAGGGTGGGCCCCCCCCCATAGCTAGCAATCCAAAACAGTCCAGTGGAGCCTGAGCGGTGGGTGTTGCCTTCTGACACACTTCCGGTGATGTCAGGGGGTGTGGCATATGCAAATAAGTTATGCAAATGAGTTATGTTAATGAGCTCCTGCACCTCTTTTTCTACGAAATGACCCCTGCTCATAAGTAAAATTGTTCATGGGAGTTTCATGACATCACCTCTATTCAGCAGTGGGAGAGTCCCATTTCAAGAAAGTATCCAGAGCTCTTGCAGCCAATAGCAAGGGAAGTCTCAAAGATGGTAGCTTATGTTTAATTCGTTTCTTTTTATTTGTTTGAGCTTCAGTGGGAAAAATGAATGGTGCATTATTCTTTCAAATCTGTGTCTTCTGTTCCTTGGCACCTCATCCATATTTCTGTGACTGCAGTGCTCTAGCATCTTTCAAAGATTGGCTTTGATAGCCTATTCAGAGTATAGCTTTCTAACCAATCCCATTCTTAGGACTTGGGCAACAAAGTAAAAGCAGCAGCACATAAATGCTAAAAAACAGAGCACAACAATGTGAAGAGCTACTATCAATATGCCTGTGTAATTAAATTACATCTCCAGAAACCAAAAACATTAAGCCGAAAGATTCAAGGACAAAACTTCCCTCCACAACATACTGCTAAGCATGGGCATTTATTGGGCAATAAGAAATGACTATCTTCTGAATACAGATTTTTAGAAGATAACTATGCAGATTAAATAGCTTCAGCCTTCAACAACTTGGTAACGAGGTGTTCAGTTTTATAAAAGCTGCTCTTCACTAAACAAAGCTGAACAATTTTATATTTAAACAATGTTAGGCATGACAGCTTATCAAGCTCTGTGCATTTACTCAGAGCCTTTATTTGCCAGGATACCCCCCCTCCGCCATTCAAGCACTTGTATTAGAAGGTGTGTTCAAAAGGTGTTTTTGTAAACTACTTAGCAGCTGAGCTGGCTTATCAGCTAAAACAGATGCTTTATCAAACTTGAGATGGCACGCGTAACAACTGTTCACTGGCCCAACAGCATTCACATCTCATTATGGACAAAAAGGGAGAGCATCTTTTACTCTACTTTATGCTAAACATTGTTGGTCAGTCATTTTACCATTTGTTCTTCCCTGAACTTCACCATTATGCATTGGAAATAGACCACTTATATGGCAAGAACTGACTTGACTGGGTATGTGTGCACTTGGAATGAGCAGATGAGGAAGACTGCCTCTTACCCTATTTACAAATGGCTAAGAAACGATAGTGAACAAGACATAAATGGCCGTATTTGCAAATACATCATTCATTTGCTTTTGGACCAAGTACTTGTGCTTTATGTGCTCCTCCAAACACTGAGTTGAATGAAAAGCAGGGGGAGTGAAACTGTGTACACAATGGGACTTCCCCCCACTTCCTTCTTCCAAGTGTGTTGCCCCATAACCCCAGAAAAAAGGCACTTATGGGGTTAGGAGCACATGTAGAAGAAGATGAAGAAGAGATTGGATTTATACCCCGCCCTTCACTACCCAAAGGTGTGTCAGAACAGCTTCTTCTTCTTCTTCTGAGGCATTTTTCTCTCATACTGGAGAACCATGAGAAGATCAGAGAAGAGACTGCTGAAGCAACCAATGAAAAACTGAACAAAGGCAGATGGTGGAGACAGAGCAAAGCTAGAACGATCCTCTCAGCTCCATGACAAAAGAAGATAGTGCTTCTCCCCTTTGGTGCGCTGGTTTCAGCAGGAAAGTGCGATGCACTCGTGCCAAAGCGGAGGGACACCCTTTCCACTACTAAGGAGCTAGAAATTTCTCTCTATCGGTGGGACTGAACAGAAGACAAAAGACAAACAATTTTAACAGTCTTAACATCATGAAGTGTGCTTAACAAGTTTCTCATAAGCTATCTCTCTCAAGAAAACCAAGGGCCAAAGCATGCGAGATACATTTTAAAACACGTTATTTAGCAATAGCATCAAACAGAATTTAAATCAGTGATCCTCTCCCCTCTTTCCTAAATAGCATGGCTGCATGCACATGACAGAATGCTGCAGAGCTAAGTGTGGTTTCCTGAAAGTGGGTTGGATCTGTCCCACTTTCTGGCTAGTAAAAAAGAAAGGAGGCAGTTCCCTTTGATGACCAAAGAAGTCTATCCTGGGGCTGACAGTACCTTCACAAACTATAGCCATGTGGGAGAGGGACTGTACTAGAACTGGACAGGCTTGAGCAAAAATGCAGGCAGGATCCAACCCAATGTTTCAGTATTGCATTAAAAAAAAAGAAGAAACAAATCATAGGTGCTATCCAGAGAAAAGTGAGATAGAGAGAAATCTCTGTAAAAATCAATGGTACCTAAGCACACAGTTCAGAACTTTGGTTCCAGGGATTTCATGACTGCGGAACACATAACTTACTATAAATTGTGCATAGTTAGAAGCACTAAAGGAACAAAAGTATGTAAAAATGCAGAAGTACTAGGGATAAGGAAAGCATACTCGGGATAATGGTATTCCTATCAACTCCTTGTGACCAAGGAACTAAGATAAGGTTTGTTAACTGGCTCTGCAATTTCAAAAGTAATAAATCACGTCAGCTTTCAAGATAGAGTACAACTCATGAAAAATGAGATTCTATGGTAGTAAACATACAACACCCTTAGGCAGAATAAGGCTGTTTGAAAAAGCGAAAAATATAAGGGTTATTTTTCTACTTCGGCAACAATGAAACTAAAACTGAATCCTTGCTTTGCAATTCTTCTGCATAAGAAACAGCATAGACCTAAAATATTAAACACACTTAGCTATGAATTACTGACATAAAGAACTGCTGAAAATCATTCCCAGATCTAACAATGTAACGTGGAAGTGGAGATTACATATAACTAGTTCTGACAAACACATAAGTATTTGCCAGTCTTAGAACAGATTGACAGGGCCCTCATATTCCTTAGATTGAGAAAAGTGCATTCATTACCCCTACATTACATCGTTCAGACACAAAAATTGGTTATGGCAGAACTCCCCTACCGGAAAATTATAACATGGGCAAAGATTTCAGGTGTCCTTCTGTCACATTGTTTTTCAAAGGGGGCAGTTTTCAAAAAGTGACACGGTTAGTAAGGCAGACATCAGCAACAATTTATTAAGGAGGATAAGGGCAAAAAGTCTATGTGCATTGAAATTAAATCCCTAAAGATGTGACTGACTTTGTCAGAGTGGGCAACACCCATTGCCTTTGGTGGATATATGGCTAGAATGTGCACCTTCAAGTGGTAGGTGCACCCCCCCACACCTATGGGTAGCCTGAGTTGCTCAGTAAATTCTTCGTGAGCACTTGTCCTAGGACCCAATGTGATGCTTATACTGTTTGAAACAGTTCTCAGTCTATTCCTGTTAACTAGAGATGCCTGCATATTTAGTCATAACAGAAGACGGTGAAAGACTTGTTGGGTATTCTGGGACTAAATGAAGACAATGACTGCTTATACTGTCATAGGAGATCATGGGAGAAAAAGAACAGCATGATGTGGTATTGGAGTTGCCCACACAGGCGCTTTGTAGAAATCCAGTCCTGACCCAAATGTTGAGTGCTATAGTAGAAGGGAACTAGCAGACTTCTGGCTGCTGAGATTAGCAGTGCATATGCTAAATCTGGGATGGCAGAAGCAGACATTATTATAGCTATGATGATAACTAAAGAACATTAGCACTGTCAGCCAAATGTAGATTATATAGGTTGGGCTCCCCACCCCAAGCAAGACCTCTGGAAGGGAAAAGCACAGGAAATATCTGCTACAGTAGTTGCCAGCCAATCCATCTTGGGAATTCCCAGACTGAACAAACTACACAAGTTGTTGGCACCACCTGAAGGATTCCCTTCTGCAAGCTCTCTCATGGAGGTGATCTACAACTTGGCTTGAAGTCAATAGTACGGGTGTGCATTTGGTATAAACTGAGCTGATTAAATACCCAAAGAATACCTTCTCAGTATTACTTGGGTATCTCCTAAACCAAATCAGATTTAAGAATCTGATTGGTTACTGATATAGTGATTCCAGTCTAATTGGGAATACTGAATAGCGGCTGTTGGGCTAAAATGGCTGCCAGTCATTTAAACCTAACAGCTGACAGGCAAACCTGTTGGGATGGTAGATTTAAATGGGGGGGAGCAAAACAGATCACTGAAAAGGCTTGAAGCCATTTTTGCCTAACAGCAGAGGGGCACACCTACCCCCGTTAGGCTAAAATGGCTGCAAGCCATTTCAGTGATCCCTTTCACTTCTCTCTGCTTGGAAGGTCTTGGAAAGGGGGGGGAGCAAAAAGGAAGAGTTAAATGGCTGCCAGCTGTTTAAACCTAACAGCTTACTGGGGGACCCATTGGGCTGTTGGGTTTAAATGGCTGGCAGCCATTTCACCGGCTGGTTTTGCTTCCCGCCACCAGCAGAAAGTAGGGAGGGAAGAGCTCACATTTTCCACCCCTTCCATTCTGCTGGCTTTGAGGAGAGTTCTCCCCATAGAATTGGCTCCTGGGAGGGCTCTGGTGGGCAGTCCAGGGCCGTGAAATGGTTGCCAGCCATTTAAATTGACAGCCCAATGGGTCTGCCTGTCAGCCCTCCCAGGAGCCAATCCTGTGGGAAGAACTCTCCCTGCAGGCTTAGCTGGGGTTCTGCTGGGTTGTCTGGTTGAAACTGGACTGCCCAAGAGCCCTCCCAGGAGCTGATCCTGCAGGGAGCTTGCTAAGGTCCCGATCCTCTGGGGAGAACTCTCCCTGCAGGCTTTGCTAGGCTGCCCGGTTGAAACTGGACTGCCCAATGGAGCCCTCCCAGGAGCTGATCCTGTGGAGAGAACTCTCTCCAAGGCCAGAAGAATGGAGGGGGGAGATCTCAGATCTTCCCTCCCTTTCTGTTGGTGGTGGCTCCCAGAGGCCAGCAGAATGGAAAGAAGGGAAGATCTGAGATCTTTACTCCCTCCTTTCTGATGGCAGGCTGCCCAGCAGAGCCCCAGCCAAGCCTGCGGGAAACTCGTGCCACTTCGAGTTCACTCATGTACTGCTAGGCTTGCAAAAGCCATTTAAAGGGAACTTTCCTTTTAAATGGCTTTTCCAAGCCACACAGCATGCGAGTGAACTCGAAGTGGTATAAATTCACCCACCACCTTCTCCATTATACCATCCCCATAGGATATAATGAAGCCGAATAAATTCGGCAATTCCGATTATTTCCTGAATCCTAATATCTGGCTAGGGGAGGCACGTGGCAAAGGAACCTTGACGAGATGCGCTGGGAGAGTGAAGGAATGTTATCCATTCACCAAAAGTGTTTGTAGATCCTACTTCTGCTATTATTGTATCTGACCATTTCAAGTGGTTAATTTGCCTGGTTGTTTAATGTGTGTTTTACACTTTTTTCAAAGTGTCAAACATGCTGAACACTTTCTAGTGCTTGGAACAGCTGTAGTTTTCTGGAACAGCAATTGATCATAACATAAACCAATAAAATGCTCATGCATTGCGTTTTTTGAATTCAAACAGGATTTTTATTGTTGGGAAAATCTTTAAGCATAAACTTCATGAAATATGGAACCAAAATCTCATTCTTTCTAAAACTATTTAAATGAAGTGAGAAGATACCGACTCTCTACATATGGAAAATAGCCACATTCAAACATGGAACTGTATGGATTAAATTGTGCCCATTGTTGGTCAGTAACGACACACTTCACAAATTAGAGAACTTTCTTCTGTTTGCATGTACAAAGGCCATGGAAATCAAGTTTCAAAGAAGCTGAGAAAATTCTTCAGGGAATTATCCTCTGACACTAATAAAAGGAGTTAGAATACAAAAATGTTACATACCTATAAATACCACTTTGGCAACAGAATCCTAATATTATATGACTACTACCGTGTGACAATAATGAATAGTTCTGAATGAGAGTTCAGAATGGGAAAGTATTGACTGCCTGATGGGCCAAACTAATCTTTACCACCAGCGGTTGCTAGCAGAGCTGGAGATTAATTTCTTCATTGCGCAGAAAATACGCCAGAATTTCCCCAGTATTAACACGTACACTGCAGAGGTCACATGGTCATATACACAAAACTATATGCACTGTGGAAGTCATACGGTCATATACAGAAAACTATATGCGAGTCCTTCTTTTAAGGTCTGTTTTCAACTAAGCTATTCCAAACACAGAACCTTTCCTTGAATATAGAAACACAGTCCACCTGACTACATGCCATTTGCTTCCTGTCTATTAAAATTTTACCTGTGACAAGTTCTCTTACTTCTGCATCAATTGATTTTCTTAGCAAGCGTAAAAGTGCAGGTATCCCACCAACATTTTTCATTGCTATTTTATTCTCATCAGTAGACTTTCCATAAACCAGGTTTCGCAGAGCACCACAAGCGTTCTTCTGAACTTCAAGGACCCTGTGATCCAACAGGTCAACCAGATGTTTGATTCCTCCTAACCTACACACCTAGGGGGAAAAATGTTGAACACCAGATTCAATTAGCAGTCCACATCTGAACAGAATCTTGGGGGAGGGGGTTGAGAATAAAATGCAGAAACTACAATAGGGAACCTAGTTGTTGTAAGCATTTTACATCCTGCCTCTCTTTTAAAATCTGATATTTCTGAGGGGCCCTGACTGGGATGGCCCAGGCTAGCCGGATCTCATCAAACTCTGGAAGCGAAGCAGAATCAGTCCATGGTTAGTACTTGGATGGGAGACTAACAAGGAAGGCCAGGGCTGCTAGGCAAACCACCTCTGTTCATCTCTTGCCTTGAAATTACTATGTGGTCATCATAAGTTGACACACACTTCATACATACACTTTTCTGAGAGAGGCACGCCTCCAGTTGTTAGGAAGGGGCTAATCGTGCAGAGTGATGTTCAATTTTCACCAAAACTGAAAACTAAGGGCTGGATCTTAAATTCTTAAACAGTTCACCTCATGGAGTGGGGCTTTCTCTGTTCCCTTTGACAAACTAGGTCTGAGGACAAACAATTAAGACAAGGGATGGCTACAGCTGTGTGTGGGGGATGCGTGGAAACAGACCCTTCCCACTGCATGACAGAATATGCCTCACAGTTTTAGAAAAATCATATTAACATGAGCAAGAACTTATGTATCACTGAGTTGAATGCACATACATCCAAAGATAACGGAAGAAGCATGGTATGGAATTTTTGTGAGGAAGCTATCTAACCCGTCAGAATTTTAAAACTCAGGTGTTTAAAGAGTTCAGGAAAAAAGTAAATTTTGCTGGTAATCATAGTAGGGAAATCTTCTTAGTCACAAACTAGCTTTTTATCTGATGAAAACATTTAGAATGAAGTCCCAGTAGCTTGCAATGTGTCTTATCATCACTGTATAAAATGCTCCATGCTGCTAGTTCAGTTATATGGTAATACAGTTTTTTTACTTTGCATGTAAATCAAATGGTTTCCCTGAATATGAACAGTATAATGCTTCTAGCTATGCCAGTCTTTTTTTAGTTTGTTCTGCATGGACTTTGTAACTCTTGATATTTTTAAAAATTAAGCTGAACTTCACTGGGACAAAACAATCATGACTCTAAAGCCATGTAAAATCCAAAGCTAAATGCAGTATTCAGTACTGATCACTGTTGGAAGTCATTTTGGGCCCCTGGCAAGTCAAATTACTTTTTCGGTTACTGGGGTTTTGGTTTGGAGGTAAATGTGTCATCTTAAATAAGGTTCACACCTTCAGTAGGTCTGTCTCCAGGATTTTAATTAAAGGAACTGTTGCTTAAAAAAAAAGGGGTAATAATCAATGAAAGTTCTGACAGTTTCACTGAAAAAGTTGCTATCTCCTGAGAAGTTTGTGACAATTGTTTCTTCTGGTTAGAGGCTCATACATTTGACTTAGGACAGTCCTGAAGGAACTACACAACGGTCAATAAACTGCACCACTATCATTATATAGGCATGCTCGGTTGAGAGAGGAAAGCAAGGTATCTCAGTCATTTTGTATCCTGCATGTATAAAAATTGTGCAAAAATGATAGGATATGGCTTTATAAGAAGTATTGGTAACACTGAGATGTGTTCATAGTATTGCCATTTCTGAAATATGAATTGACATATAAGGTGGCAACTACCACCTGGCTGCCTCTGTTGGGCTACTGTTCTGCAGCATTTCTGGAAGCCTCTCTGGATCACCTGCCAGATCAAGGCTTCTGCCGAGGAGAGCTGCAGCGATCTTCTCTGTCAGCCCATGGCTTTTACTGAGGCCCCGTTCCTCAGCCATTACAGGTGCTTTATAGATCTCCGACATAGCTGAGAGGTAGCTGATTCTGCCTGGGGAAATGCTGCATCACTTTTAGCCTGGCCACATTAACTTCTGGCGTGGCCAATCATTCAGAGAGCTGCTGCCCAGCTCCCCTCCCCCTCATTTTACATTAAAATGTATGCCCAGTACAAAGAGTGCTATAACAAAAGATCTTTATGAGACAGGAAACAGCTTTGTAGGAGGTATTACTGTGCTCTGCATCAATTACTAGTACAAAACATAAATGTGAACACAGTCACAACTTCAAATTCTAAAGCATTTTCCCTCAGTTTCCCCCCATTAAGTCTTATGCATGTATACATTTTTTCTGAAATATTAATATTCTGATTGAAAATATTCTAATGGAAATTTTTATTTTTTTTACACTTCAGCCTAGATCATACAGGCCTGAGCCTATGCATGTTTACTGAGAAGTAAGTTCCAGTGAGTGTAAAGGGACTCACTTGCAAGTAAGTGTGCAAAGGATTGTAATCGTAAAAACATAATCCTGTATGAATGGATGAAACTTTTAAACTGTTACTATAATAAAACCTAAAAGTATTAATATGTGCTCCCATTGGAGATCTGAAAGGGTTCCCAGTCACCTTAAATCATTAGCTTCATGGAAACTTCAAAGTAAATGACCAAGTCTAAGAGCTCTGAAATAGTCCTCATTGATAATTTTTGAATCGGCACCATACCTCCGTTTTTACTTTGTTATCTCCAAAGCACAGGTGCTGTAGGTAGGCTGCGGCGTTGGCTTGAACTGATGGGAACTGATGCTGAAGCATGTGAATTACTTCAGGCAATTCTGGATCCCGCCATGCAAATTCTCTTCATTAGATAAGCAAAATCCAAAGGAAAGTGTGAATTTTTTTTGCTATTTTTATACCACAGTTATTATAATTATACAAATATTTGTAATTAAAACTTAAAGAAATTAAAACAGAGGTTGTCTCAAAGATAAACAATTAAACATGGAAGTGCTAGGAAGTATTTTAGAATTATTTTATCATAGCAGCTGTGTACAGTTCATTAAAGTATCACGTATGCTTGCCTGGGATCTTTCTGGATACTGTCTATGGATGGAGATCTCGTTGTCCCATCATCTGCTGGAGTTGCATGCTGCATCCTGTTGTAATTGGACTCTGGAAGCCGATAATGAAGCGACCTGTAGGGTTCCGCGTAGGTAGCTGTTGTGTTCAGAGCATAATTGTTTCTTTGGTATGTAAGCGTGCTACGCTGACTGGAAGATCTTTGCAGATTTCCAACACCTGGTGCGTAAAATCAGTATTAAGATGTAAACCTCCCTTCTATCCTTAAGGAAGCTTCCTCCAATAGCAGTGGCTCTTCCACCAGAGGAACAGTCATATCTGTTGGAGGAAGCTCCCTCAGGCTGGAGGAAGGCTTTTAACTTCGTTTAGCAGAGATGTAGAATACAAGCCAATGTGTCTGCATGTGTGTATTTACCCATATGTTCACAAGTTATCTCACAAGATGTCACAACATCTTAATTACTGCTGAAATTCTATAAAACCTCTTTGGGAAACCCTAGAATAACTTCTATTTAGATTGGTGCAGGGGGACTGTGGGTATGCCAACAGAGATTGTGGCTCAGTACTTCTGTTTTTTGGGAGGGAAATTAGCATGGTACAGCCCAAACTTGTCAGTTCTGGGAAGCTAAGCAGGGTCTGCCCTGGTTAGTACTTGGATGGGAGCCCTCCAAAGAAGACTGCAGAGGAAGGTGATGGCAAACCACCTCTGCTTCTCACTTGCCTTGAAAGCCCCTTGCTGAGGTCACCATAAGTTAGCTGCAACATGATGGCACTTTACACACATATATGTTTTTAGCTGTTTCATTGTTTAGTTTTAGTTATACGATAATTTTTATAGGATATAAACATTTGTTTAGTTTATATTATAACTGGTTGTATACTATACAATATGCCATCTTAACTACTCAAGGATGATCACCAGCTCTAGAACTCTGATTATTGGATTGTTTTAAACGTTTGGAATGTTTTAATTTTTGTATATGGTTTTACGGTACTGGGTACCGATTAATGTAAGCCACCCTGAGTCTGCTCGCGGGAGGGCGGGGTATAAATAGAATAAATGAATAAATAAATTTGTATTTTAAACCATTGCTATCTACTCTACTCTCAATGTCTATCTCCCCCTGAACAAGTTCAATGGTGGAAGGAACTGAGAGCTAAGCTACTTGTTTCAAAATATAATTTTAGGAGATAAATTTTAAAAGGGGATGGTCTATATTAAGCCAAATTAAAAAAAAATTGGGCCCCCCCCCCCCCCAAATTCCCAGGGCTAATATTAAGTTTTAAGTCAAGACTTCACTTTTAGGTTTTATAAATACAAAATAAGATCATCCAGCAGGAGTGCGACCTATTGCATGGCATAGGTTTCTGGCAAAATTACTGGTGTAAACCAACTATGGTTATTAAATAGACACGTTCCTCAGTGCTGAACAAATTCCAGAACAAAGTCACACTGCATAATTAAGTAGTCTGTTTTCTCAGAAGGAGGCTCCCATGTTTTCTAAACAAGATTGGATTTTGAATGCAAATGTTTACCTTGGTTCAATCAGAGACAGAATCAAACATTTTTAATTAGAGTATTTATGTACACTCTATATAACAATTAGGTTAATTCTACATGAACAAATATTTAGCAGTAGCTCCCACCAGCAAGGGCACAGCGCACTGGGTTGGAGCCACCAGAGTCAGCCAATACCCTCTGTGGACTCTTCCAGTGGATCTACCCCAATGAATCCTTATTGAACAGCTGCAGAATTTAAAATTTTGATGTGTGTATTCATGGACAACAGAAAGATATTTCACACCTACCTGATCCAGTTCGATATAATGCTGTTTGAGACCCTTGATGCACATCAGCTGATCCATGATTAGGACTATGATATACTGGACTATAATAGGTTCTGCCTTCATATATGGGAGTAATGTGTAGTTCAGGAGATACAGTTGAACGTAGCTCTTGGCCAAGTTGACTGTGCTGACTAGCATATGAGCTTCTCAAACCTACAAGGAAAAAAGTAATACCATATACTGAAGTTAGTAAGAGGCAAATCAAGAGACAGACAAATAAATCCTCATTTTATGCATATTATCTACATAGGCACATGGTTCCATCACATACATTCATAAAACAGTATCTATCTATCTATCTATCTATCTAGATCTATCTATCTAGATCTATCTAGATCTATCTAGATCTATCTAGATCTATCTAGATCTATCTAGATCTATCTAGATCTATCTAGATCTATCTAGATCTATCTAGATCTATCTAGATCTATCTAGATCTATCTAGATCTATCTAGATCTATCTAGATCTATCTAGATCTATCTAGATCTATCTAGATCTATCTAGATCTATCTAGATCTATCTAGATCTATCTAGATCTATCTAGATCTATCTAGATCTATCTAGATCTATCTAGATCTATCTAGATCTATCTAGATCTATCTAGATCTATCTAGATCTATCTAGATCTATCTAGATCTATCTAGATCTATCTATCTATCTATCTATCTATCTATCTATCTATCTATCTATCTATCTATCTATCTATCTATCTATCTCTGCTCATACAGCTATCACCTTAAGCAAAAATTAGAACCAAAGAAAATATTTTAAAAGACCTTACTCAGTATTATTTCTCTTATACTTGATTATTGCACCTATGAATTTCATAACACAGTATTAAATTACACCAAGGCAAAAATTAATCACTATATTAATAATGTGACATCCATTTCTTTTTTGTTTCTTGACTTCTGTCAATTCACTACTTGTTATTTTAAATATACCTTGATTTTCAACTCAATATTGTCCAAGTTGGAGGTCAATAGATTAAGGCAATTCAAGAATACAGTACAAGGCCCAGGGGAAATCGCCCCACCCTAGAACCATGCTATTTTCTGTGTTTGCTGAGGTGCTTCTCCTCACCCATGCCATGTGGAATGTGGCCCTGGCTCTGTGATGACTAAAAGACATTGGTGCATTAATGTGGGGAACTGACATGATGCTAAAGCCTCCCTCAAGCATTCTGGTTTTCCTGTGACTGCTACTGTCCTTCGGGGAGCTCACAATAAGCCCAGAGCAAATACCCTCTGTCCTGCCCAAGCCAAGAAACATAGGATGTAACTGTCCCATGGCTTTAAAAGTGTCCAATAACTCTTGTGCTATAGAAGGTACAAAACAACACTCTCATGTCTGCAAAGGTGTGTTCACATGCTTTCTTCCAGTTTGAGGTATCACATTAAAAAGAGTTTCTTATATTAACATAAGTTTTACACACAGAAGTTTCACAACTTTTTTCTCTTCTTCTGACAGAACACATAATTTGATTTTGTGAATACTGTTGCTTTTTAAAAATTATACTTTGAGACATAATGTAATTGCTACTATTAAGAATACCAGAGTACTTTCCCCTGAGTACTCAGTCTGTGCCAATGGCACACTGGGAAGTGAGCCCCCTCTTATTAGCTACAAGGAAATAAGGCCTATTGTGGAAATAAATACAATGAGCTCTAGAAAGAGCCTCTGGGTGGGTGCCCTGACCTCGGGCACTCAGCGTCAATTTGTTGTGGTGACCTCAGCAGGGTATAATGACACCATTTTCTCCAGGGGAACTGATCTCTGCCATCTGAAGAGCAGTTGTAATTCTGAGTGATCTTCAGCCCTCACCTGGAGATTGGCAACAATGGTTCCCCAGGAGGAAATGGCTGGTTTGGATGGTGGAATCTATGGCATTGCACTTGTCTGAGGTCCCACCCCTCCCCAAACTCTGGCTTCTGTAGACTCCATCACAAAATCTTTCCCAACCTGGAGCTGGCAACCCTAGTCAGGACTGGCCCCAATGAGTTCCCCACCGAGGCCAATGTAGGCCTGGAATGGGCCTCCTGCCTTTGCCTTTTTACTGACAGAACCAAGCTTGGTTGCCTAGCAACAGCCACTGCGGGAAAAGTTAGCCCCACAGGAGCCAAGCAGGAGAAGCGTCTTTGTCAGGAGACACAGCCATTTTGGCAGTTCTGTCAGAGAAGTGGCCAGGCTGGCAGTGGGCGGGAGAGAGGAGCAGATCCAGCACCCAGCCAATGGCACACGAGTACTCTTGAGTGGCGGCTGATGGGCCAATGGCTGATGGAGCGCACAGCACAGCCAATGGGAGAGCTGGAAAGTGCCAATATGTTGGGCTTATATATATATATGGTAGACAGAATTCTAAAAGGTATCCTGAATGAAGGGGTGTTCTTTTGTTTTCCTGACCACTGTTATCACTTCACACTGACTTTCACAGTGTTTATTGTGTGAGATTGGTGAAAACACATTGAAGCACAATCTGTTGCCTCTTAATTCCCATTCATTCTTGTGTGTTTGAAGACAGCAAGTAAATTTCCTATTCAATTTCTCCACATGATTTAGGATCTTATTTTCGTCTTGCAGTTATCCTATCTTTCTTTTTCCATCTAAATGGAAAAATTCCAATTTAAGCCTCTCCTTGTAGAGTAGCTTATCTATAACCTTAACGATTTTTGTGCTCTTTCCTTTGATTTTACCAGTTCAAGTTTCTTTGTCAAAAAGTGGGAGACAGAATAGTACATTGTTCATGGTGACAGGCATTCTTAAATCTCTATACTAAAGTTTGTAACATTGATTTATTTAGCGTATCTGTACCTCACTTTTCAGCCAAACTGCCTCCCATAGTAATAGGTAATTAGAATTATCACAATTTTAAAGTAAGTTGCCTGAGAGGCATAGCTCCTTAAAAAACTACCCATACATACAATGAAAGATACTTCCAGAAATACTGCAACATCTTTGGGACCTAGCAGAACACTGAGATGTTTTGACTGACATTTGGTTGTGATGATGGAGAGGGAAGCATTTTCCTTTGGTTAGCAGAGATAATGGTGAGAGAATGCATCCCCTGCCATTCCTATCCCCTCTGACAGTGGCTTCTAATTAGTTGGGCTTATGGTGTCCCTACTTGGATTGGGGGGGGCAGCATGGTACAGTCGCAACTTGTCTGATCTCAGAAGTTAAGCAGTGTCAGTACTTGGAAGCGAGATTGCTAAGGAAGGCTGTGCAGTGAAAGACAATGGCAAACCACCTCTTCTTCTCACCTTCCTTGAAAGCCCCTTGCTGGGGTTGTGTAAGTTAATTGTGACTTGACTGTACATATGTCCCTGCCCTTCTCTGGGTTACAATGCTAAGAATCTCAGCAGAGTATAAGGACAAATGTGTCCCTGGACTGGGTGAACACCTTTCCACTTCAAAAATCTCAAAAATACTACACAGAGGTTATTTTTCCCTCATATTTTATAACATATTGGTGCGGGGGGTTGGGGGAGTTGGGAATGATCCTATGAGGTAGCTGTATAACATTTTGCTGAGCAATTTTCTCACAGGTAGTTGAGGCCTGAGTGTGCCCAGAAGTACAAGCCTTAGTTCAGGATTCACTAATGTAGTGCCCATGGGTGAGGGTTGCAGCCTGGAACTGGGCAGAAGATGGGGTAGCAGAGGGAGAGATAAGACTTGCTTGGCATTCAGAACATAAGAACATAAGAGACGCCAATGTTGAATCAGGCCAAAGGCCCATCCAGTCCAACACTCTGTCACACAGTGGCCAAAAATACCAGGTGCCATCAGGAGGTCCACCAGTGGGGCCAGGACATTAGAAGGCTCCCCACTTTCCTGTTTGCTTCTGTTGTACATTTTTCTGAACTAGTTTCCAAGAAAGGGGCTGGTACTTGTATTCCCATTTATCAAAAGAAGCAGACACTTCCTCTCATTTCTCTCCTCCTCTCTCCTCATCATTTTCATATGATATCTAGGTGGTCACAGCCTAATTGGGGTGGAAAACCTAACAACAGCACCGAGCCTTCTTTCTAATCGTTTAGCAATTCATACTGTATTTCCTAGACTGTAACCAAGAAATAAGAACCCTTCAGGAACTTTACAAAGGAGGTCACAAACAGATAAATTCCAGTAATTATAGGCTATACATAAGCAGAGCATGTAGTTTAATATATTTAAAGTATATTATCTGTGTTGTTCTTATGCAAAAGCAATTTAGATGTTCATGACACTATTTCTCTTCTAGAAACATATAGCTTAGGTTGCTCATATGTACTCATAACTTTTCTTTAAATGGTTCAATGGCTAGATTTACTTCCCCTACATTCCCTCCTCTTTCTAATTGCATGTGTAGCTCAGAAAGTAAATATTTGTGCTTTAGTGGCAAACCACACTCAGTTTTATCATAGTCAATCTTTTGAATGGACAGATCAACACATGCACATATTTCTTTTTTGGTGAAAGATCTAGATCTCTCCACTCTGATGAATGGAAAATATCTGGCAGACTGAAAAAACACTGTGCATGGTGCAGCTTCTACTTCCTTGAGGAACCACAGTATTTGTATCAAGTAGGTTTGCCAACTTCCAGGTTGGGCCTGGAGTTCTCCTGAGACTACAACTGATCTCTAGACTACAGAGATCAGTTCCCCTGGAGAAAATGGCATTTCAGAGGGTGGACTTCATACCATCACATCTCTGCTAAGCTCTCTCTGCCCCCCAAACTCCACCCTCCCCAGACTCTGCGCCCTTCAGGTATTTTCCAGCCTGGAGATGGTACCCCTAGTATGAGGTGGCTTTTCTGTAGACTTCAAGTATTTTGTGTAGGAACGATCAGCTGAAAAGAATTATTTTCAGTTGAAGAATACCCAGAACAGTGCAACATTTCATTTCCTGCTACAAGACCTGAAACAATTCCATTTCCAAAATATCTATTCAAACTAGTCTGTACTACTAACTCTTTAACTAAATTCTGAAGAAACAAATAAAGCAGTAATGCTCCCTCAGTAAAGTCAACACATGCATTTCACTGATACCCAACAGCCAGTTTGGTGTAGTGGTTAAATGTGCGCACTCTAATCTGGGAGAACTGGGTTTGAATCCCCACTCCTCCACTTGCACCTGCTGATGTGACCTTGGGTCAGTCACAAGCTCTGGCA